GGGAGGAGGACGAGCAGGGAGCAGCAGAAGAGGAGGAGGCTGCAAGCAGACGCTAGCCCGCCTCTCGCACGAGTGGCAGGCCCTGGAGCGGGAGGAGAGCAAGGCTATGGAGCACATGGCTGGTGACACAAGAAGCAACGGCAACTTCATAGGGTACGCGAACATGCTGCACAGCAAAGGGCTGCTGCGGCGGGTGGTGGTGGACGAGTGTCATCTCATCTTCACGTCGAGCGACTGGCGGCCGAAGCTGGCGGAGTTGAAGAACTTGCGGCTGCTGCCGTGCCCGATCGTGCTGCTCACAGCGACGCTTCCGCCGGTGCGGGAGGGTGAGCTAGCAACAAGCATGCTAATTCCGTGCGCAATGTACATCCGGGCAAGCACCGTACGGCTAAACACGCAGTACTACGTGTTGTGGTGCGAGCGTGGCAAGGCGTTAGAGACAGCGGTGGCGATGTGTCGACGGCAGCAGCAGCTACTGCTTAGCAGAGGCTGGAAGGGCGTGGTGTACTGTCGCAGCAAGCAGCAGTGTGAAGAGCTAGCTGAGGTGCTGGGGTGCAGGTGCTATCACGCCAACGTGCCCAACTGTGAGGACTAAGTGAAGCAGTGGTTGATAGAAGGAGGGCTGATGACAGCAACATCAGCGCTAGGCACAGGGGTAGACTTCCCCAGGATCGTGTTCATACTGCACGTGAGGATGCCGTGGAGCATGATCAACTACGCGCAGGAGAGCAGGCGTGGGGGGCGAGCTGGCGAAAGGGTGGATTCAGTGGTGTTAGTGGAGCAGGGCAAGGTTGAGTGGATGATGAAGCAGAAGAGCAACAACTTGGACGTGCAGGTAATAGGCATGTTTCTGATTATTAGCGGGTGTCAACAAGGGCTAATGAGCAGCTACTTAGACAGCAAGCGGGTGGAGTGCAACAACATGGAGACAGCTAGGTGCAACTAGTGCGGAGAGGGGACGCGCAGTTGGCACGACGCACAGCAGGAGGCGAGCACGGAGTGGCAGCAGGTAGAGGAACTGATGGATGAGCTGCGCAACGGGTGCATGGCGTGCTGCATGCTGGACAACGCCAGCACAACTGAGTAGCAGCAGCACAAGACAATGCAGTGCACCGCGCACCCAGGCGTGACAGGCATAGAGCTAGACGCATTTCAACAAGGGATTCACAACCAAGGTAGCAGTCACAGCTGCTAATAGTGCTAGGTTAGTTAGAAGTACTGCGCGACGTGGGAGGACGTGCAGAAGCAATGTTAATAGCTAAACATGGTGGTGCTGTTAGCAAGGACAGCAGCAGAGCTGGATTGAGGCGTTTAGATCATTTGAGAGCAGTGCAGGTATAGTAGAGAGCTTGGAGGGGACTGGAAGGAGTACGCAGCGTGGCTAGGGAAGCGGCATAGGGAGTGAGTGTGGGGGGAGTTTTTTAGTAATGCAATAGTGGTAGCAATTAGAGTGGTGTTGTTTATACAGCAGTATAACAGTAGGCAGGTAGTAGAGATAGAGTAGCATTAGCGTTAAGGCTAAATTAAGGTTATGTATCTTAGAGATACTTAACTAACTTATATGCACACATAATACAAGAGTTAGCAAAGTTAAAATTAATAAATAGTAATAAAAATAGTGTAGATAAGTAGAAAAAGAAGATAGAATAGATATTTAGCTATAAGATAATAGTAGGCAGGTTAGTGTTAAGGTAGAAAAAAAAAATACTCACTACTAATCAGTAACCGGGTTGACTCAACCCGATTCCTTTTGGCGCTAGTGAGACCCCTGCACGCAACCCAACCCGATTCCTTTTCACAAAAGAGAACCAGGTTAGCATACTCTCTACAAAATACTACTATCTAGCGCGCTAGCATCGCGCAACAAAGTGTTACAAACAATCTGCACTTTTTAGAATTTATGCGCGATGTTGCGTTGCGTAGATATCTATTAGCAAAGGTTGGCAACAGCTGTACAGCGAGCACAAGGGCCAATTGCACAACTCCAGAGCTGTTTGTAAATAATCACGCCACTGACCAAAAGACCATTTATCTAAATCTACTCTTGCTCTACAGGATAGAACAGCTTAAGTAAGCTTGTCTGTTGCATGTTGTGAGCTGATGCAGAAAGGCGCTTAGACGTGGCTTGCGTCTGCTGTAACGCTATCCCATTGTCTTCGCTGTCCTCCACTTCCTCAACGACAGGATCCAGAGGGATATCTAACTCAATGCTAAGCGTCTGCTTCCCACTAATAGGTCCACCGGAGATGCCCTCAGGCCCTAACCAGTCATCAAGGACCTTGCTCGCAGCGCAGACATCTGGACGTTCCTTCTTCACTAACTCCATCCAGAGGTGCACTCCCCAAGCACGGATTGTCTGCTTAATCCAAGAGTTTGCAAAGTACTCGTAAGGCATAAGGGTGAAGATGCCCCACCCCAAGCCCTGGGCGACCTCATACCAACGCGTTGCTCTTGCCAGGCGTTTCTGGAAGGCCTCCCTTTCCTTTATAGTAGCGTTAGGGTTGATCAGCTTTAGCAGAGCTGCAATGGCCTCTGAGCGGACCTGGCCTTTGCCGTACCGGTTTCGTGTTCTGTCGTTGCTGGAGATGAGGTCGTTTTGCTGAATCTGCGTTATCTTGTTGGCGTACGCTCGGCCCAAGAGGGCCTCCGCCCACCTGTACTCGATGTGCACAGCTGCTAGCATGCCCTCGTAGCACCTGCACCTATCCCAGGCAGAGCAAAACTCCACATCAGTTTCGTTTTGTCTCTGCGACCCTGCAAGGTGGCTGCTGTGCTGCGATTGCTGCTGGTGCTGGGAGCGAGGTACGTCTCTAGCAAACCTGCCTTGGAACAGTGCCCCACGCTCTCGCCAGCCTAGCAGGAACTGGCGAGCGTAGAATCGAGCGTTGAGGCTCCCGAGCGCACGAGCCTTCTCCAGAAAGATTAAAGCTGTGCGATACGGCGTTTGGGCGGCGTTGTAGAAGTCGTCTGTGTCAGAGACCGGCTGCTTGATGATCCAGGCGACGATGGCCTCGTCCTTCCAGGAAAGAAAGTTGTAGGCGTAGTGTTCGTCGCGAGAAGCCGTGTTGCTTGGTTCAATCAAACCAAGGTCTAGCCGCTTTCTCATCAGCGAAGCTTTACGCTTCTTGTCACGGGCCTGCTCAGCGCGACGGTTGTTGCTAGTGACTGTGGTGATCAGAGCTGCCGACTCCTGTGGACGTAGCTCCTCCAGATCGCTGCTGCAGTTGGATATCCGAGGACTCGACGCACGCGACGGCGCCTGGGCAGCTTGGCTTGGAGGCTCCACGGACCGAGCGCGCTTCGGCGACGGAGACGCTCCAAGTGAGGCAGGCCGCTTTGAGCCAGAAGGCGCTTTGCAGCGCAGGCCTGCGTCGTGAAAGCTCCCTGCTGCTGTAGACTGGACGGGAGTTTGAGCAGAAGGCGGAGCTTGCTCTGCGCCCTGGGAGGTGAGTGTGTCTGCTGCAGAGACAAGGCGAGCCCAAACATCGTCAGGGAGCGTGTCTTTGTCTGGGAGCGACGCTCGCACCAGCCAGATAGCTGACAGCAGAGAGTGAGCAACAAAGACAGGCTTGCACAGGCTCGTCTCGTCGGGAACCAGCCACCCGCAGCTGAAAGGGCGGTACGCGTCCTCGTGCCGTGGAGTAGATGGCGCAACTGCTTGACGGATGAAGAGCTTCTCGTAGTCTTCGTTGGGCGGCTCGTATGGCCAGTTGAAGGCAAAGGTAGCATCGCTGGCTGGGGGGAAGCTTCTGGGGCCGCCGTCAAACCGCAGCGCAGCTTGATTTATTAGAGCATTCCAGTGCATTTCTGGATTGAGCATGCGACAGGAAAAGGTTTTCAAGACAGGGATAGCAGATTTGGTGGTTGTAGGGGCTGAGGGTTGCAGAGGAAGAGGTTTAGGTGTTGCGTGCGCCTACCATAGTAGTCCCGAAAGTCCGAAAATCACGCCACGCACAGGTCAACCCACAACAGCCACACTAACCAGCGTTAGCAGAGCTTAGCATCTAATAAAACCTGAGACAGAATTAAAATAAAGATGCTCTGATGTAGGCAAAGCTAACAAAAGTAAGCAGTAGGCCACAATTGGCGAGTTCATTAATGTAAACACTATCTATGGAGCTGTTCAATACAATCTTTGAGTACCTTCCTGAGCACTGTATAGGAGTATGTCGAGCCCACTGTCAAGGTGTGTTAGCGTCGCAGCTTCCGTCGCACTTGCGGAGGGGCCATGGGGAGTTGACAGCAGCAACGCGCAAGGCAATTGTGCTAGCTGCAGCAGAGCACTCAGCGTGGGCGACGTCTGCAAACACTGTTGCCCTCCCCCTGCCTGAATCACAACCAATAGCCTACCTACCTGTGTATAGAGACGGGATGAGATGCAGCATGGCGACCAAGGACAGCAGTCAGTGCAGCTACATTGTCCGTACGCTACGAGACATACAAGAGCACTGCCGCAAAGAGCATGAATGGACAAACCCACGCAAGAGGGGCTGGCAATGCCCGGAGCAGCAGAACGGCCAGCCATGGGTGGAGGGGGTGTGGTGCCAGAAGTTCCAACCAGCCGGACCGCTTGGGCGACTGTTTGAGGTCAGCCAGCCTTGCGACGAGGGCATACAGCATGCTGTCGACGAGGAGGGCGACCTGCAGCGCGCGATAGAGGCGTCGTTCCTCCAAGGCACAGCAGCACTACAAAAGACCCAGCGGGACACACACGCCCAGGTGGAGGCTGACAGCAACCGCTACCTCTGGAACACGTGGCTGCAGAGAACGCGATGGGCGCGTCACCTTGCTGACTTTGACCGCTCGTGGCTGCTGCGGCAGGTGCGGCAGCCAGGCGACGAAGAAAAGGCGCTTGAGAGGGTGTGCTGGGCGGTCGAGATGGTGATTTGGAAGGCTCAGCGAGCGTCGTCGCCGGAGGTGGTGGGACTGCCAGCCACGACGTTTATTGAGCGCCGCGAGACAGGAGCACCAGATAACGAGAAGCCATTCGACGCACGCCAGACTGGGAAGACGATGAAAAAGTACAGCCGGTACTGGGTGTCGGTCGTCTGCTACCTATGGCGCACCTATCAGCTGCCGGACGCTCCCACCAACGCGGATAGCGTAGTAGACAAGGCCAGTCCTGTTGCTTCAGAATGTGACAGTGAATCCGCATCTACGCATCTTAGCGATAGAAAGCCGCGGTACCGTCTTACAGCCAGGCAGACATACACCCTGTGGCAGATCCAGCAGCTCCTTCTTGCAGCGTCGCGGGATCGAGGAAACACCGACGGCAACAACGACAGCGACAGCGACAGCGACAGCGACAGCGACAGCGACAGCGACAGTGACAGCGACAACGACGAGACAGAGCTAGATGAAGAGAGGGAGGAAGAGCTGGAACGCCGCGTCCTTGCATTTCTCATCTCGCTGCTGGATCACCAACTAGGAGACGACTACTACAAGAGCGCCCTGGTCAGCGCGACCGCTGTGCTCGGTGTCGATCGAGACCGAGGGTGGAAGAGTCCTCTTGTCTACACGACTACGCTGTCGGCGCTTGTCACTGTGTCCAAGATGCTGGTGCTGTACAGCGCTGTGCAGGCCCGGAAGAAGCAGATTGCAGAGCTCAGAGAGACGGGAGGATGGGCTCAGGAGGAGGCAGAGGACCAGGCGCAAAGCCATGTCGCGCTGGTGCAGGAGATGGTCACCCGCTTCATGACGCTGACAGCGTTTGGCGGCAAGCCCACGCCCATAGACTGGGTGCTGCGGCTGCGAGCCTATGGCAAGAAGATTCGCGGCGACACCAACGCAGCCGGCGTTGTGCAGTGGGTGGAAGACACCATCATGTACGGCTACGTGCAGTATAGCATGCCCCAGCTGCGCTCTATGGTCCACGGGCTTGTGGACACGACGCGGATGGAGCTACGCCGAGACCTGCTGCTTCTTGACGTGGACGAGCTCGGCCAGCCCGCAGACGGCGCGACTCTACTTCCAGCTATAGAGTGGGATAAGGTGGTGGACAACCCGGCTGAGCTGCGCGCTGGGTGGAACTTCCTGCAGGACCCGCGCAACACGTTTGGAGGCGTGGATGGGGGGACTTGGTTATCGCGTCGCATTGCCGACGAGGAGAGGCTTCGCCGGACGTTTGTTGACTGTGAAGCTAGCGATGTGTCCCCTGGTGGCCGTGGGATTGTGTGGGCGGCAAAGCGGGTGCAGCAGTATGAGACAGCTCTGCGGCTTTTCCGCGAGCACTTGCTGGTGGCAATGCACATGACGGGCGGGCAACCCGCGCGCGGGACTGAGCTGGTGACGGTCACCTACAAGAATACGCCCAATGGCCAGAGCCGGGGCGTCTTCGTCGAGGACGGGCTGATGGTGTACGTGACCATGTACCACAAGGGGATTGGGCACGCTGGGACAGCCAAGGTCATTCATCGCTATCTACCGCGTGAGGTTGGCGAGCTGCTCTTCTATTACCTGTGGATGGTGCTTCCCTTCTGGCAGAAGCTAGGGTACGCGTCCGGAAGGGCTGTCGACGCAGAGCGCAGTCCCTTCCTATGGGAGCCAATAAGGGAAGAGCAGTGGACTGGTCCGCAGCGGAAGAAGAAACGACGACTCCAGCAGCCGCCTAACACAAGAGAGTACAGGAGGGAGGAGAGCGGTGCGGAGGAGGATGGGTCCAGGATCGGCCTAGAGGAGAAGCCTATGCCTGTAGCTGCAGCTGGCAGGATAGAACAATGGGGAACCAACCAGATTCGGCGAGCGATCGAGCGCGTATCTCTGCGCTGGCTGAAGACGAAGATCAACATCCAGATCTGGAGGCACAACAGCAAGGCAACTATGCGTCGGTACATCAAGGACAAGCAGGTGCTAAAGACGCTAGGGTGGGGAGATGATGAGGCGGACCAGGAAGCCGAAGACGATCCTTTCGACCTGCAGTCCGGGCATGGGTCTAGGACGGCCGGGCAGATATACGGCCGCCCTGCGGACGAGTCTCCGTTCAGCGTCCAGGTACAGCGGCTTGCTTTTCGCAGGGTCAGCGTTGCGTGGCACGAGTTTCTTCAGTTCGGCTCGACGCTGAGCGCGCCACCAAAAGAAGGCTCAACTGCTGCAGCGGCCAGGGACGAGTCTGTGGAAGAGGAGTACCGGCGTTGGAAGCAGATGAGAAGCACGGATATCCAGGCCTCGCTCGAGCGACTGCAGGGCACAGGCGCCCGGTTCCGGGGCTGCCAGAAACCTGTTGTCGAAGCCATCATGCGGCAGGAGAGCCCTGTGGTTGCGATCATGGGCACGGGTATGGGTAAGAGCCTGAGCTTCATGTTGCCGGCGCTAACCTCGACTGGCGTGACAGTGGTTGTGGTGCCAATACTGGCGCTGAAGAACGATCTGAAGGACCGCTGCATTAAAGCCGGGATCAACTGCGTCGAGTGGGACAGCGAGCGGCCGCACGAGTGGGCTTCGGTAGTGCTGGTGGTACCAGAGTCAGCGGTGAGTATGTCTTTCGAGGCATTCATCAACCGGCAGCGCGCCATGGGACGACTGGAACGCATCGTCGTTGATGAGTGTCACATTGCGCTGGAGTCCACCAAGGGCTGGCGGACCTGGGTGTTGAAGCTGCGCAACCTCGTCAAAGCAGAGACGCAGCTTGTGTATCTGACAGCGACGCTGAAGCCGAAAGAAGAGAGCGAGTTTATCCGTTTGATGGCGCTACCACCAAAGGAACAGTGTGCATGGTTTCGGATGCCAACCACACGACCCAACATTGCGTATCAGGTGCACTGGTACAACAGAGAGGAGGAGGTAGAGGCAGATGTGCTAGTGCGGCTGGTGCAGGAGAAGAAGGAGCAATATCCCCTCCCTTGCCAGATCATTGTGTACTGCGACTCCGTCCCGAGAGCCAAGGACTATGCAGCGACGTTAGGGGCTGTCTGCTACCACCGCGAGGCTGGGACAGCAGAGGAGAAACTCCAGCTCTTGCGCCAGCTCACAGAAGGGCAACAGCAGGTGTTTGTTGCTACAAGCGCGCTAGGCCTGGGCGTGGACCACGGTCTTATCCGCGTAGTGCTCTTTGTAGGGCAAGTTAGAAGACTGCGGGACTTGGTGCAGCAATCAGGGCGCGCTGGCCGGGACGGAGCTAGGAGTGAGTCCATCATTCTTCGAGGCGCTTCGTATAGCCCAGAGGGCAAGCGGTTGGCCGGTGGTCGATACGTAGACATAGAGCCAGAGATCTATGAGATCGTCGAGGGCGGCTGCTGCATCCGGGTCGTGCTTGACCGGGAAATGGACGGGAACACCGCGCGGCAAGGCTGCGGAAAGGGAGAAGCGGCGTGCGGTTGGTGCCAGGAGCAGGGGGCCGTTGAAGCGAAGGGTGAGGAGGCAGTGGGTGAGGCAGACCGGGCTGAATTCCAGCGCAGCTTAGTTGCGCGTAGGAGCCTGGGACGTCAAGAGATGGCGCTGCAATCGCAAGAGCAGCTGGAGGTAGAAAAGCTGCAGGAGATGCTCGAGGAGTGGAAGGACGGCTGCCAGTGGTGCCGCGTGAACGAGTGGGCAGGCGTAAAGCAGCACCGGCTTGCTGAGTGCAGGCAAGAGCAGGCGGACGACGTGCGCGAGGGGGTCAAGGAGCTGCTGAAGAGGGTGCGATGGGAGAGGTACAGCTGCTGCTATACGTGCGGCATCCCCCAGTCCATCTGCGCGAGCTACAGAGAGCAAGCAGACGCAGGCTGGGGCAAGGTAGCAGGCGCGCCGTGTCAGTATACAGGGGTGTTGGCTGCGTCAATTATATCGATTTGGATAGCGGCTGGAAGTCTGTTTGACGAGTGGATGCAGACGCAGATGCAAAAAGAGAGCAGTACGCAGGCAGAGACAGAGGCTCAGTTCAACGACGTGTTAAGGTGGATGGCAAAACTGATCTGGTGGGGAGGAATACAGAGCAACAAGATGTGCTGGATATTTGTAAAGTTTATAGAACTATTTGCAGCGTAGAGAAAGACTTTAAGTAGAGTAAGGTATTAGATAGCAGTGCAGTGCTTTAAGTCCTAGCCAAAATAAGGGCGCAGGGAGGACACCAAACCGCAGCAAAAGAGGCTTAGTGTTAGGGGTTAACCCCTTTTAAGTGATCTGCTTTAGTAGTCCCCCATATTACCCTAACACTACTAACCTGCTATTACTTTGCGCCTAACCTAAACTATCACCGAGTGTCCCACATCACCGAGTGTCCCAAAACTTGCCAAGCCCTCTACCTACTCTCTCTCTCTAACATGCCTCAACTACCAAACGCGTTATTACTTGAACATGAAGGGAGGCTTCAGCTTGCTATTGAAGCCTTGAAATCCGGACAATTCCGAAGCCACTGGGCTGCTGCAGAGGCATTTAACGTTGATCGCCGTACACTCTCTCGTCGCGTCCAAGGACTCACATTTCGCGCAGAAGCTGCCCCTAACTGCCAGAAGCTCACTGCGACTGAACAGCAGACGATCATCCAATACATACTCGACCTCGACTTGCGAGGATTTGCGCCCCGGCTGTGCGAGGTGGCAGATATGGCTGATAAACTGCTGGCTGTACGCAGTGGCAAGCCTATTGGCAAGTGCTGGGCTGATCGCTTTGTAACGCGCTTGCCTGAGCTCAAAATGGCCTTTAATTAAGCAAAGGATAGGCAGAGAATACTCCAGGAGGATCTAGAGATAATTGGCGCGTGGTTTAAGCTGGTGGAGGAGACTAAAGCCAAGTATGGCGTCCACAATGACGACGTGCACAACTTTGATGAGACTGGCTTCTAGATGGGCGTGATTGGCTCCATGAAGGTCGTCACAGGTGCAGAGAGACGCGCCCGACCTGCGCTTGTTCAGCCAGGCGATCGCGAGTGGGTTACAGTTATCCAGAGCATCTGCGCTGCTGGGTACGCGACCCTGCCCTTCATCATCTACAAGGGACGCGTCCACATCTCTGCCTGGTACAAGGAGGCTTCAATACCGCGTAATTGGAAGCTCTTAGTCTCTGAGAACGGCTGGACAAACAACGCGCTTGGTCTGGAGTGGTTGAAGCACTTTAACGCGCATACAAAGACGCGCCAGGTGGGGGGGTACCAGCTGCTCATTTTAGACGGCCATGAGAGCCACCTCAACCAGCATTTTAAGGACTACTGCCTTGAACACAAGATCCTAACCCTCTGTATGCCCCCCTATTCATCGCACATCCTCCAGCCGCTTGATGTGGTCTGCTTCTCGCCGCTGAAGCGCAGGTACTCCCAGCGCGTCAGAGACTTGGCACGCTGACGCGTCTTCCATATTAACAAAGAAGGCTTCCTCCCTGCCTTTAAGGACGCGTTTTTTAACGTGTTTACAGAGCAGAACTGTTAAAAGGCTTTTGAGGCAGCAGGGCTAGTCCCAATTAACGCGCAGGTTGTATTAGATCGCCTTAAAGTGTGGCTGCGTACCTAGCCAAGATAAGGGCGCGGGGAGGACACCGAACCGCGGCAAAAGAGGCTTAGCGTTAGGGTTTGACCCCTTTTAAGTGATCTGCTTTGGTGGTCCCCCGCGTTACCCTAACACTACCAACCCGCCATTACTTTGGGCCTAAATTAAAAAATATCTTATACAAACTCAATTCTTATATACTTTGTGCAGCGACGCTGAGCGTTTTGTCTGTCTATTCAGCAAAACTTAGTGCTGTTATAGTAAGTAGGGTTAGGGTTTCTGCGCGATGGAGCGTGTGTGGGACAGCCAAGCAAACAATTCAGGCAGCAGCGAAAACAACACTGCAAACTCCTACAGATGGCCCCAGCAGCTCACACTCAGCAATTCTGATAACGTTTTCTGCTTTCTTAAAGGCTTTAGCATTATTGTTTGCAAGCAGCACTGTACAGCAGTTGTGAGTCTTGATGCGCATCTCCGCAAATATCATGCTGCATCTGCTGCGCTACGGCGAAAGATACTTGAGCGCTTCACTCAATTT